AAACGTTCCTCATAAACTGTTCTTGCAAGCAGGCCATTGTAATATAAGCGATAATCTAATTGGTCAGAAATAAACCAATCACATCAAATATTACAAAGCGAAAGACGCCTTTTCGCGCGCTTTTTGACGCGCTGTGACGTCATGTCCCTTCCCTATCAATTCTCCAGATTTGAATATCTCGGGGGTTGACAGCCCTGCATAGGGTACCTATTTTTTAAATTGTGTCTCGTGTCTAATACGATACCATACTTTTGTTTCGCAGTCTTTCCATCAATTCAGCAGTCATAATGAAATACTTCATTATCTTCTCTGTAATTTTACTCGTTGCCACAGCAGCCACAGCCATTCCGGCGAGTGGTAAGTAAGGAATAGACGCTTGTTTTTTTGTTTTTTTTTAACATGCTTTTCAAATCATAGATATACGAAGCGGCGTAAAAACGTTGCATAGCGTTTTTATTTTTTTTATTTGTTTGTTTTTGGTTTTCTTTTTGTCCACAATTTGCATGTTTCTTTTATAAGCCTCATATTCTTATCTATTATTCGGTTAGCTATTTATCACAATCATTTATCAACTGTGATGTGGTGTGGGTCAATTTAAACAAAGGTCTCGCCATTAGATTACAAAAATTGCAGAACCGTGCTGGCCGAATAATAACTTTTCAAGGTTATGATGTTATTTAGATCCAAGGATGTATTGAATTCCCTAAATTGGGATGATTTGGCATTTGGAAGAAATATTAAACACTTGTGTTTATTAATGCATGATTCAGTTAACCATGCTGTACCTACATACATTAGCGATCTTTTCTCAAAATGTTCGGAAAATAACCCTTATAAATCTCGACTTAGAGACAAAGAACTAAATATCGAGATTCCTCGTGTCCCAAACACCGAGCACTATAAAGGGTCATTTTCATATAGAGGTGCGATGAAATGGAACTCACTACCTCATAACTTAAAGTCGTCAACATCAAAAGATTTTTTTAAATTTGTTATTATGGGGCAGGCAAATTGTCAATAAATTTTAACTATTTTATTGAATTTATGTTATTTTAATCATTCCAATGTAAGTAACTTTCATATTATATACGGCTTTCATGAAAAGACGTTTTTTAACTTATGGAACTACCGTGTTTAAATAAAAGTAATTCATTCATCATGGTTATTATTTATCTATTTATTTATTGAATGACTGACGGACTGACGGACTTGTTTATTTATTTATTCATTCATTCATTCATTCATTCATTCGTTCGTTCGTTCGTTCGTTCGTTCGTTCGTTCGTTCGTTTGTTTGTTTGTTTGTTTGTTTATTTATTTATTTTTTAATTCTTTCTTTCTTTCTTTCTTTCTTTCTTTCTTTCTTTCTTTCTTTCTTTTCCAGACCAAGGCAGGTCTCTAGCCAAACGCGGAGTAGGATGCTGGTGTGCTGGTCACGTCGACAGGGGTATTTTCTGGTTTTTTGCAATTAAATGCTATCCAAAGGAAGTCATTTGTGAAAAATTTCTTAGTGGGATTTGCTGTAGGCCACAAAAATACGAAGGAGAAAAAATGTTCTAATGATTTAATAAGAGTAAATAAGATAAATGCACCAACATTCGCAATCAAGTGCAGTAGAATTTTCATTCATGGTAAATCAGCTCTATTTGTTGTACTTGCACCATGTAAACTGTAAAATAAAAGAACTTAACGCTTGAATCAAAATAAACTTTTACTCAGTAGCCCACAGGCAGCCCAAACAAGGTTCTTGTGTATGGTTTATAAGGGAATGTATGGGAGTTATGATTAAGGTCATGAAAATAAAATGTTTCACTCAACAATTTGCCTCAAAACCTGCTGCAGTTGTTGCTTTTACTTTGTTCAGTCTTCTGCCGAAGTTTCAGCGTGATTTGAGGCCGTTTAGTGTTTTTTTTCAAAATCCGCTCTTCACTACCTAAGATGTTTGTTCCGAATCTTTAAGCTATTTTTAATAACCAGCCACGCCCCAATTCTATTGTTTTATGTAGGTTTTGAAACCCAGAGTAAGACCTACATTCTTAAAGCCGGGGGGGGGCTTTGATTATCAGCAGGGGAGAGCGGGGCTGAATTCAAATTTGAAATTCAAGACCTGTCCCGGGTTTTGAATTCAGTTCCGCTGTTATCGCGAAACTGGAAAAAAAAGAAAAAAGAAAAAGAAAACAATAACAATATGCAAATAGTTTTAATCAACTTAAACAACAAAAAATAACTTGGTAATTAACAACACACTTCATCAAGCTTTCTTAATTTTGTAGTCTTGCACTCTGATCAGAAAAAAWTTATGTTAATATTGAACTTCCCTTTGATCTCATCCAAACGTCTCAGCTTCAGCTCATCTGATTGAGACTTCAGAACTTCTTGCTTCTGATCTTCCATCTTGGCCTTCTTTGTTTTCTCCTCCGCGCCCTCGGTCTTGAATTTCAATGAAAGCCCTCGCCCTATGTTTTGAACCTTTATTTAGAATCAGTGCGCTGAGCTATAGCTTGGACTTGAAATCCCGTACAGTCCTCATTGTCAGGTTTTAAATATTGCTTCAACATTTTTTACTAGATAGACCATTTTCGAGTTCGAAATTACCGATGTGTTGATTGGAGGTCCGCCCACTTGGAGGTGTGATTTTGTCTGCATTCCTTTCTCGCGAAATGCACAATGGACATCAGCGAACTTGGTCGTGTTTACAGTAGGGGAAGAGCATAAGTAGTGATTTGAGATCTCTCGTTATAGATGAGATTGTTGAAAGTGGTGGGGATATCATAACATGATTCTTTCCTGGAAAATTTGCAGAAATTGCTCAAAAATTTCCCCCGCCTCCATGCTCAACTTTGATGTCGAACCTTCTACTCGCCGCCATAATTTTGAATTGAACGTTGCACAGGGATAGCCGAGAAAGGAATGCAGACAAAATCACACCTCCAAGTGGGCGGAGTCACAGCGTCTCGTAGGCAAATTCGCAGACGAATTTTTTAATGCGTGCCACACTTCGATGAAATCCGTAGTAAAGGAGTTATGAATTATTCACGGCTTTCACAAAGTTGTTTACAACATTCGCGTCCGTCTCGCCTCCGTATGCTAGTTGCTCAGTCTGATTTTTTTCACATAAGTAGAACACTATATGAACATTTCAAAAAATATATAAACTAGGTTTTGGAAAACATTGTAATAAAGCCAAAAAT